GAAGTAAGTCAGAGAGAGAAGGTCAAATACCGTATGATTTCCTTCATTAAGTAGTAGATAATAACAACAATAAACAAACACTTAGAGACAGAGACTGGATTGGTGGTTACCAGAGGGGAAGGGTGGAGGGAGGAGGGCGAAAGGGATAGTTGGCACATGTGTGTGGTGATGGGTTGTAATTAGTATTTGGGTGGTGAACATGATGTAATCTATGCAGAAATAGAAGTATAATGATGTACACCTGAAATTTACACAATGTTATAAACCAGTGTTACTGCAATAAACAAACAAAAAATAATAAGATAAAAAGAACCCTGCTAAATTTGGCAGTAACATTCCAAATTGGTCCAAAACCAAACATCTTTTGGGTTAAGACAAGAAGCTACTTATGTACAAATCTGACCCAGACCAGGCAGCAGAGAACAGGCTGCTCTCAAGAACACCTGACAGTAAGGGCTGCCTTTTCAGACAAGCAGTCACACTCCATGGAACATCACCTGTCAGTGCAGGGGGCTGCCCCCGATACGTGCTTTCCACACCCAGCAATCCACCACAATCATGTCTCCCCTTTTTAGTCATACCCAGACAACATTTCTCAGGTTCCCTGGCACCCTTGCATTTTGGGTGTGGCCAAGTGACCTAGTTTCCTCCAACAGAACATGAATCAAAGTGTCACGTGCCACTTTCAGCCTCACTCATAAAACCCACCCATGCTGGCTCCTCTGTACTCTTTCCTTCTTCCAGTTGACCAAGAAGGCAATGTGTCAGGGTGAGTGTTGAAGACAGCAAAGTAGCCATCAGCCTGGTCCTTGAGAGACAGTAGGAAATAAAGCCACCCTCCTTACGTCCACATCCACCCAGGACTGCGCACAAGAAGAAAATATGCTTTTGTATTAGCACCGGGTGGTTTTTTAATTTCTGCAGCCCTGCCCAGCCTAATTAACAGGGGTACAACTGGGATGTTGCTGACATACAAAGTAGCAATAAACTAACTCTCTCCACTCACACATCGGCTAATTAAGAGCACAGCATCAAGATTCTTTCCACAAAAAAATCGTAAAACAACCAGTGGGCTCCTCTAAGAACTTTAGACCAAAAAGCAGAGCTCTGTCACTGGGGACCCAGGAAACGCTGGTGAGACAAACCCAGCTTTCCAACTCTTGGGCAGTTGGCTGATGGTTTGATCAAGGAAGGCAGCAATGCCCAGACACACTCACCTTTAGGAAGTTCTTCACCCACTCTGGGTTGTAGCAATTATTCTCCCAGCATATCCTCTCCACCTCCTTGATCTGCCTTGTCTTACAGGTGGCCTGAATGTATTTCAAGTGCACTTCTGGATCCTGGCTGAAGTTCACAATTGAACCCAGGAAGTAGAACAGGCCTATGAAGAGAGACTGTTCCGTTTTGTGCCTTCCTGATACCACGTGCCTTCTCTACGGTCGTAGCCCACCTGCCCTTGATGGCCCAGCCCACAACGACCTTGATCCATTTTCCAAGTGCCCACAGTCCACTCAGAATTTATAATCTACATGAAGTTCAACAGCTCTGGCATTTCCCAAAAATAGCTAGTCAAATTTCCACCAAATTTAGGAGGTATACCTGGGATGTTCTGATGTAAAATACTCACTATGTGTGTACACGGAATCCTTTTGGGTGACCCAGGTACACCTTAGTTGGTCATCTTCAAGAATAGTTCAAACTGAGGTAACCTAAGAGGGCTCTGTGACTGCTGCTCTAAAAAGACATGCCAGAAACAGAGAAAAAAGCAATGGCTTCAAACAGGAGCCTCCAACTGAAGAGTCTGCTACCTAACACTGAACTCATGGCACAGACAGGAGCCACTACGGACTGGGTTCCATAATACCCAGAGACACTGATTTCCTAACCATTACAGGCTCCAGACAGGAGGTACCAGTAACAATAGCAGGACATGATACACCAGAGAAGACCACTTTCCCCAAGAGGTCTTTGGCTGTAACCTGGGGATGGAACTGGCAGCCCTAAGGGGATGGTTCCCACCAACCCTACCCTACTGCCATCTCTCATCCCAGAGCCACCCAACTGCTGCTGCGGTAGACTTTCCTGTGATGGCATATCCTGACAAGAAGGCCAGATCAAGTGAGAGCAGGTCTTGCCTTCATTCCTCCAATGTCACAACCTCACGAGGCACATGGCAGTGGCTTGATGCCCCACTGGACAAATGCTTTGTCCAGTGCTAGGCAGGCCAGATAGCTGCAGCCTGTCCCCAACAGACCCTCAATTGGGAAAGCCATCCCCTGACTAGTACATTTCTTGGTGTGATGCCCACAGTGGGCAAAGGAAGCCGACCAGGGCAGGCCCACCAGCCCAGTGACTGCATGCCTCAAGAGCTCCATGTGGCTCTCACTCAGGGGAAGCCATAAGCCCTGATGATTTTCTTCTTTTTTATAACACAAGTGCCTGACTTAAGCTTTGATTGCCCAGGCATCCACTTCAAAGAGGGCTATCTCTAATAAACACATTGCCAGCCACATGCCAGGCCACCTCTCCCCCAACTGCAGCTCCTCTGTTTTAGGGATCTTGGTTGATTTCGATAGCTAACCATTTGGGCCAGTGGGGTTTTTTTTTTTGTCCTCTTCCTGTGCTTTCAATTCCTGCTCTTATGTTTTAAATTCACCAATAAAGAGTGAGCCCACGAAACCCTAGTCCCCTACCCTCAACCTCAATAAAAGCAGAACCCCAGGCCTGTGTGCTCTCTCTTTCTCTCTCTACCTGCAGCCCTGCTGTGTGGCCCCAGGTGTGCTATGTAATTTCCAGGTCCGGTGAGTAATAAACATTTATTTTTCCGAAGTTTCCTGATGGTTACTGCTGAAGGGCAATCATAATAAGAACCACAAGGGCCAGTCCAACCACAATATTAGTTATTGATATGCTGAGACCAGCACAAAACACTCACCCTCTAAGGGCTGTGCACTCCACTGCCACTAGCTCAGGGTTTCAGGTGAACTCCGTGGCAGACTGTGCCACAGAGACGCTCAGTTCCACAGAGGCTCCAGAGACACAAGGGGGATTCTAAGTCTCCCTACACCAATGCCAACCAACCAATTTCTTCCTTTGCAAACACCAAAAAAGCTACCTAAGCTGGGTAACCCACACGAGAGAGCAGGAATCTTCTGCCATTGACCAACACCTGAGGCGGTGAGTGCTACGTCCCACTTGGCTTGTAGGAAGACTGTTAGGTTGGGCAGGCAGACAGTGACACCCAGGCGTGGTCAGCCAGGGGCTGCACAGTTTACCTTCGTAACTCTTGAAGGATTCAAACAGTTCCACCAGGGACTGCATGCCCAGCTGTTTGTGGTACTTGGAGGCCACCTGCACACACAGCTGAAGGTTCTGTCTGATGCTGGCAGACAGCAGAGCACGCAGGCACGCCAGAGAATCCTCCACCAACAAGGAGCCAAAGAAGGTGATGAGCCACCGAGAAACAAGAATAATCTGTCCACAAACATGTACATCTTAGATGTTGCCACCACTGGCAAATACTAGATCAATTTTTCCCTCCAAGTGTTAAAAACATCAAGAAATTTCCACTTAAAACAACAGAAGAGCAACTATCCCTCGTGGTGAAAAGTGGGAGCTGGGAGTAGACTTGCCACAAGACACTGACCTCAACTGTTTAACGAGCTGTCAGAGACCCTGCAGTGCTCCATGGCTGATACTAAACCCTATTCTATAAACTGGAATGCAATAGCTATTTAGCTTTTGCTAACGGTTTCAGACATCCCTGCTAGAGTTGTCAGTAAGAGGTTCTCCCTATTAGACTAAGTCAAAGGTGACAGAGAGAAAGAGGTGATACAGGCCCAGCCGTGTGGCTGAGCAACTGGGGTGTGTGTGTGGGCTGAATGAGAACTGCTCATAGCAGTGACGAGGCTCACGCACAGGAAAGGCACACAGCACAGTCCCACAACAACCCACTTTGGAGATTTGGAAGCATGTGACCCTAACGACCAGGGAACGCCATCCACAGTGGGAGTGCCCCAGGGGCATGCCATACCTCGGGACTGAGGAGGTGAGTGTGGACCACAGCCCTCTTGATGTCGTAGAGGTCGATGTAGTGCTCCAGTGCTCACTGCAAGAGGCCCACCTTTTCACAGAGCTGGGCGATGTGGGCCCGATCGTAATGCGTAAGTAAACATCTGCTTTCCAAGGATGGCATCTGCAACCTGTGAAACAGTGAGTTCAGTAAGAAAGCCTGACAGGTGATAACTTTTTAAGCGCAGCTGCTCAACCATGCCTCCAGGCACAGCTCCAGAACCAGAGCTCACAGGAAGGGGAAGCGCCTCCCACTTCTGGGCCCCTGCACACATCCGTGCTCCCATAGCAGCAGCAGCTACTTGTGGGTCCTGAGCAGAGTGCTGGCCATCCTTCCAAGTCACCTGAGGCTCTTCGATTAAGGCTCTGTCCTCTCAGTTGCAGAGCTGGCCCAGCACACGTGGCTGAGGCTCTGCCACGAAGCACTGTTACTACAATCAGTGCAGGCTGTTGCTCTGGCTTTTTAGCCACCATATTCATACAGTTTTCCCTGACAAGGTCAATGTGAGGGCTTGAGTCTACCAAGGCTTCCTTCTTTAATGAGCTCAAGCCTCAGACTAGTAATAGTCAGAATTAGACCCAAAATTAACAAATCCTGTTTGTATTTACTAGACTTCTCTGGTTAAAGGCAGAATTAGGAGCAGCAGGTTGCGTTTGAAAAACAACAAACACTCCTGGAAAGAATTTCGATGAGGCTTAACATTATCTTTAAATAAGTTAACTCTGGGCTAAGAATATGGGTCAGTAGAGCAATTCCGCTGCCTTGCTGAGTGATCTGACCTTCCATATCAAACAAGTAGCTTGTCTTGATGAAATGCAGCTTGGGTGCCTTCACCGGCCACCCAGCACACTCTTTCCAATTCCTTCCAGGTTATGGAACACCAATCAAGTATGTAGGAACCACAGACCTAGTCTAACATCACAATGCTCCAGGATTACACACACTTGGGGCTCCCTATGAAGGAAACGCTCTAAACCAAGGGCTGAGAGCAGTTTTGTATCATCTGGCACTTATCTGCTGCCCCCACCCTCTGCTTCCTTCAGATCTATCCTTACTACCGTCTTGTTTGAAACGTTTCCCCCTTATTAGAACAACAGTCCAGTTTAGAGAACTTAGAAAACACAGATAAGCCAAAAAGAAAACATCAACCAGCCTCTGACACCCAGAGAGGACTGGCCCAACCTTTCGAGTGCTGTGCTCAACCACACGCCCATTCAAGCTGCCCCGCTCTGGGGTCTGGGCTCTCCTTAGGTCTATCTGCTCAGTTTCTGAGTGGTGCTTAGTTTCTGTTTCAAAGCTCATTTACTAAAATCTGTCATATATAATCACCAAGTCATCAGAGTTCAAGAGAATACCAAACAACAAATTAACAGCACTTTTGTGTCCTAGAGATGGGATATGACCACACAGCAGCATCTAACTTGTAGATATGAACAACCTGAAGTAACAGAACAATATAATTAACATATTGTTTCCTAATTACAAAAACAATATATGATTATTAAAGAAAAAACAAATTAGAAGACAGATAAGAACAAATAGAATTTCTACAATCCTATCCACTCAGACAACCATGGTTAACAGCTTGATATAAATTCCTCCAAATTCTTTTCCTGCATGTATATCCAAATTTAACCAAAAATAGCACATACTTATGATTTGATCATACCTCCCGCCCAACTTTCAGGTCAAGAAATGCCCCACCATAATGAGATACCATTTCACACCCATTAGGATGGCTATTACAAAAGCACAGGAAAAATACAAACATGCACAGAAAATAACAAGTGTTGGCGAGGATGTGGAGAAATTGGAACCCTCATACACTACCGGTGGGAGTGTAAAATGGTGCAGCTGCATGGAACACACTATGGCGGTACCTCAAGAAGTTACACATAGAATTATATATGATCCAGCAATTCCAATTCTGGGTATATGCCCAAAAGAACTGAAAACAGGGCCTCAAACTGATACCTGTACACCAATGTTCATAGCAGCACTATTCACAATAGCCAAAAGGTGAAAAAAACCCAAGTGTCCATCAAAAGATGAGTGGATAAACAAAATGTGGCAAACACATACAACAGAATATTATTCAGCCATGACAATGAATGAAATTCTGATACATGCTACAACATGGATGAACCTTGAAAATAACATGCCAGGTGAAAAAATTCAGACACAAAAGGTCAAATATTGTATGATTCCACTTAATATTAAGTGTCTACAATAGGCAGATTCATAGAGACAGAAAGTAGAACAGAGGTTACCAGGCGATGGGGGAGGGGATGGGGAGTTACTGCTTAATGGATACAGAATTTCTGTTTGGGGTGATGAAAAAGTTCTGGAAATATACAGTGGTAACGCCTGTACAATACTGCAAATGTACTTAATGCCAGTGAATTGCACACTTAAAAATAGTTAAAATGGTAAATTTTGTTACATATATTTTACCACAATGAGAAAAAAAAGGAAAAGAAATGATGCCCTAATTGTAACTGTTTCTATGAAAGTCTTGCACCATGGATTCTGGAAATCCCTTGCAGGAAAGTCCTGCAGAATGTCCACTGAGGCAAAGATCAACCTCTGGCATGAGCACAACCCAGCCCAAAGCCACTGCATCTCAGTGTGTGAGTCCCACACAGAAGTGAAACAGGTGCTCAGGGCCCTGGTTTCAGCCTGGAAATGTCACTTGCCTGGGGTGCATGAATCAAGTTCATCTCCAACAGGCGAGTCTGGAGGAGCCCCTCAGATGGGCGATTATTCTTCAAGGCATCCAACAAGAAGGAAGTACACTGCTGAATTAAACTGTTTTCCATGAAAACGTCTACAATCTGAAACAGATCACAAGCCACATTTTTACTCAAAGGAAACTGTTTTGTTTTCCTATTGAAATAGTTCCTGAAACTGAATTTCATTTAGAAATTCAACAATTAGTTCCTTCCTTTGCATTTTCTTACACCATCAAAATTCATGTAATTCATAGCCATTATTTATTAGTAGGTAATATTGTGAAATTACATCACCTACATCATATTCACCAACAGGGCATTTTACTTGAGTAGATTAAAGGATGTACTTTTTTCACATATGAATCCCCAGAATCCTATGAGGTAGTCAAGCAACCCTTTTTTTTTTTTTTTTGCTGAGGAAGATTCACCCTGAGCTAACATCTCTGCCATCTATTTTTTTTTTTTTTTGTGAGGAGATCAGCCCTGTGCTAACATCCGCCAATCCTCCTCTTTTTTTGCTGAGGAAGACGGCCCTGGGCTAACATCTGTGCCCATCTTCCTCCACTTTATATGGGACGCCGCCACAGCATGGCTTGCCAAGCAGTGCGTCGGTGCGCGCCCGGGATCCGAACCAGCGAACCCCGGGCCGCCGCAGCGGAGCGCGTGCACTTAACCACTTGCGCCACCGGGCCGGCCCCATCTCTGCCATCTATTTTGTATGTGGGTTGCCGTCTCAGCATGACTGATGAGTGGTGTAGGCCCAGGATCCAAACCCATGAACCCAGGGTGAGGAAGTGGAGCACGTGGAACTTAACCACTATGCCACAGGGCCGGCCCCAAGCAATCTTAACAACCCATTACTTAATCAAACCCTAGAGGCAGTCAATACCTGGTGTCTAGCCCATATACTATCATTATTTTATTCAGGCACAACTGGAAAAATCCAAACACTGGTGATCCAGACACCAATCATTAAGGTTAAATTTATGTTAATTTAAAGAAACAAAAAGCCTTAATAAGAGGTGAGATATAGGTAATAAATTTACTAATTGAGTAATTGTTTCCATATTTAAAGTACATGAAGAAAGTTTATATTAAAAATACTTAAAAAATATGTAATATAATTCAGATGTAAACTAGAGCCTTCTTTCCCCTTGAGATCTTCGTAAGTTTGGCTCAAATCCCTTGATCATGATCTCTAAAACATCTGCAAATTCTAAGATGTATAAACCCAATATAACTGTACTTATTATTTCTATACAGGTTGTTGATTTTGTTAGCTTGCTTCAAGCTTCATTACATACCACTGTATTACCCAGAGCCCGTTGTACACAGTTTACTGAAGGTGACTTGTCATGTGTGTACATCTAAATACTAAGTACATTATACTAAAATAATGGGCTTACGTTCACCTAACTCCAGGTTAGTCAGACACCCACAAGATGAAAGTCTGTAGATTCGAGGGCACCCACCATGACCAGGTACTCTGGCAGAGTTCAGGCCCTTTGTCAGAAGGGGATAACGAGGTGGTGATTAGGGTGGGGCTGGGACTACCATCCTGAAAGGATATCCTCACACCCTACCACCAATCAGCACACAAAGAAACAAGACCCTCACCACTCGACACGCAATCTAAAATACTTTAAAACGAAGGTAAAGTATTCAAATAATAAAAGACTAGAAGACAAGCTTCCCTAGTACATGAGATTTTTTATAGCAGGCAGAGAAAACAATTGAGACACTGGGAACAGGGAAACGAAAGGGACTCTTCTTGACGGCTATACAAAGCCACGGAAAGCTGTCTCAAACAACCCAGGTTCACCTGGTTACTGTTGCCCAATGACTCCTCATCCTGCATGAGCATTTGAGAAAACTGCAGGCCCTGGTCTGGACTGATCCTCATCACACTCTTCAGCAAAAAGATCCAGTCTGGGGCATAGCCAACCTAGAAACAAGAGAACAGCCATCACGGGCCGGCTCCGTGGCTTGGCGGTTAAGTGTGCGCGCTCTGATGCTGGCGGCCCGGGTTTGGATCCCGGGCGCGCCCCAGGGCACCACTTCTCCGTCCAGCGCGAGGCCGGGTCCCACGTACAGCAACTAGAGGGATGTGAGCCTATGACATGCAGCTATCTGCTGGGGCTTTGGGGGGAGAAAAATGAATAAATAGAATCTTTAAAAAAAAAAAAAGAGAACAGCCATCAGGGAAATAAACAAAACACCTTGAGCGTTAAAAAAAAGAAGTTCCCCATCCTTTCTTTCATTGTGTTTACAAAGAAATAAGGAGCACTATTAGCATGTATTTGTGCCAGCTCTCTGCCAAACACAACAGCCAATCCAAAGTGCAGACTTCATGTATACGGAGGCACAATCAACTATACAAACAGGCCGGACCACAAAGCAGTCACCCCAACCAGTGTGCAAACTCTGATCAACACCCAGCACAGTGCCCAGTGAGCTGTGGGGATAAGGCCTGGAACCCCACCAAAACACCAAATTAACACACAAAGGGTGCTAAGGGGGAATGGAGAAGAAGTGAGAAAAAGAACAAGATAAAATGACAGGAAAGCCCCAACTGGAAATGAGATGGAAAGACTGTAAATGTAAGACAGGAAAATAAAATCTGCAGAGAATAAAATATGACCATTATCAAGGCGTGACAGATACTAACAGCAACACTGACAACTCTCTCACACCAGACTACTTACATAGAAGGGCATTTTATAAACTTCAGAATCAGCAACCACCCAACCACAAATTAATTATCTGTGAAATGCTAATGGTTAAGCATGCATCACCTTTTTGGCATAGAGCACAAGTTTTTGGAATTGGCCTGTTTCTACAAAACACTGGATAACTTTGCTTGGCACATTTGCCCAAAGGTACACACTCACAGCGAGTGTAGGGTCAGCAGTTTTGACCAAATCTCTAAGTTCTTCTGAACACTCTAGCTGTGGTGTGCCAAAGGGACAAGGTAAGATTAGGAGCAGGGAAGTAGTGAGCCTGTGACCTAGTTCTCAAACAGTGCTAGGGGCTACGATTTCACAAGTGTTTGTACCTTGTCTTCCTTCAGTCGCTTTTCTAAGAGTTGCTTGGCCCCTGCTAAAGAACTGGACGGCAAAGATCTAAGGATTCAAGTTTATTAAGCTGACCCTGGTCAAGGAGGATTCCAAAGTACGGGAGCAAAGCAGAAGCCTGCCCAGGCTGGGCAGGAATACTCTGGAACTTCGAACCGTGTCGCTGGTACGTAGGATTCCCTAATGACAAATGGAAATGCATGTCATTGTGTTGTAATCACAAGTCATCCCTTCACTTAATTTGCTTGTATAAAAAAATCTTGCCAACAGAAATTCTACACCAAATTATCAGTGACAAAACGTCCCCTAGCAAGGCAATGGCTTCTGCCTTCAGCAATGACCCCATCACAGTGGGTCTCAGTCCTACGGGCCACTTCTACTTAGGATCCTCCTTCTCCTCTAGCACACGGCAGGGAGAATCAGGCTTCTATATTGGTCCTGCAGTGGTGAAGTTCTACCATTACTAAATTCTAATTCAAAATACTCAAAGTCCCAGATGAAGGCTAGAAATGGTTTGTCCATAAGCATCAGTTGAAAGACAAGAAAAATCAAGGAGAAGCAACCTGAAAGCCTTTATCTACTCATCAGGAGCAGATCCAGTCCCAGGACAATTTATTCTAATAAAATAAATCAGGGCCAGCCCCATGGCTTAGCGGTTAAGTGCGCACGCTCCGCTGCTGGCGGCCTGGGTTCGGATCCCAGGCGCGCACCGACGCACCGCTCCTCTGGCCATGCTGAGGCCGCGTCCCACATACAGCAACTAGAAGGATGTGCAACTATGACATACTATCTACTGGGGCTTTGGGGAAAAATAAATAAATAAATAAAATTATCCTCCTTTAAAATAAATAAATAAATGAATAAAATAAAATAAAATAAAATAAATCAAAGAAAATGCCCTAAGCAGTACTGTTATACTCTAGAAGACTGGAGAAAAGTCCAGAGTAGGAATATGACTAAATCAAATAGGGTACAACCACTTGATGTATTACGCAATTATGTATTTGCTAAGCTAAGAACTTAGGTGAGGTCAGCATGGCTATAATTAACAAGACAAGAAATAACAAGTGTTGGAGGGATGTGGAAAAAAGGGAACTCTCATACACTGCTGGTGGGAGTATAAACTGGTGCAGCCACTATGGAAAATAGAGATTCCTCAAAAAATTAAGAATAGAACTACCATACGATCCAGCTATTCCACTGCTGGGTATTTAACAAGAGAATGTACAAACATGATACATAAAGATATATGCACCCCTATGTTCACTGTGGCATTATTCACAATAGCCAAGACTTGGAAGCAACCTAGGTGCCCATCAAGAGACAAATGGGGGGCTGCCTGGTGGCACAGTGGTTAAGCGCGCACACTCCGCTGCAGCAGCCCGAGGTTCGCAGGTTCAGATCCCGGGCGCGCACCGATGCACTGCTTGTTAAGCCATGCTGTGGTGGCGTCCCATATAAAGTAGAGGAAGATGGGCACGGATGTTAGCCCAGGGCCAGTCTTCCTCAAAAAAAAAGGGGAAGACTGGCATCAGATGTTAGCTCAGGGCTAGTCCTCCTCACAAAAAAAAAAAAAAAGGGACCAATGGATGAAGAAGATGTGGTATATATACACAATGGAATACTACTCAGCCATAAAAAAAGATGAAATCTTGCCATTTGTGATAACGTGGATGGACCTTGAGGGTATTATGCTAAGCAAAATACGTCAGAGGGAGAAAGTTCAATACCATATTATCTCACTCATAAATAGAAGATAAAAACAACAACAAACAAACACAGAGACCGAGATTGCATTGGTGGTTACCAGAGGGAATGGGTGGAGAGAGGAGGGTGAAAGGGGTGACTAGGCACATGTGTGTGATGATGGATAGTAATTAGTCCTTGGGTGGTGAACATGATGTAATCTGCACAGAAATTGAAATATAATGATGTACACCTGATATTTATATGTTATAAACCAATGTTACATCAATTAAAAAAAAGGAAGTTGGGTGAGAAACATATGCACATAGACAAAAACCGGAAGATAATGAAAAAGAACATGTCATTGCAGCAAGATTGTGCTTTTTGTTTATTTGTTTCCATTACTGTTACGCCACTGGTAGAAAATTTTAAAGCTAAAAACTCATAGAACGCTAAGATACTCCAACAGCAGTGATGGAATGCTTTTATGATTTGTTTCACTATCAGGACAGCACCAGTGTTCAAGTGTCATTACCTTTGGTGCAAACACCACTACTTTGGCACCTTCAGCATAGTTCCCCTGTGCAAACAGGGTACTGCATTTTCTCATAAATAACTCCTCTGCCCCAGCCAGGTTACTACGAATGGCGAAACACAGACCAAGGTCTGGATTCTGAAGCACGTTGGTTGCATAACTCACAATGTTATCTTCTTCCACACAAACTGACAGCACCTATAAGGACCCAACAAGTGAGACTGGTTAAGCCTAGAAAAGTGCTCCATACACACACACTGCTACATTCAACTCACAGACACGGGAGTCACACACTGCTACATTCAACTCACAGACACGGGAGTATCAGCAAAGTTCTAAGGCTCAGGCTGAGCATGCCTATAATGTTGGCCTTACTGGGGACAGGATGCAAAGGGGCCAAATGCCCAATGGTAACACAGTAGAACATCATGATACTGCTGCAGCATGGGATTCTACACAGTTGTTTAAAAGACTACAAAAATATTAAGTGAGAAAAATATAAAGTTGCGTGGACATTAACCAGAGATGCGTTTAGGATGACAACTATGCCAAAATGACTTGTTTGGGTAGAACTGACGATTTTTCTTTTCAAACTTTTTTTTTAAGCACAGATTTGCTTCTTTTAACTGTCTTTTTAACTGGTTGAGAAAGGTAACTTAGGTAGCATAATATCTGCTTTTTTTTTTTTTGGGGTGAGGAAGATTGGCCCTGAGCCAACATCTGTGCCAGTCTTCCTCTATTTTGTATGTGGGATGCCACCACAGCATGGCTTGATGAGTAGTGTAGTTCCACGCCCGGGATCTGAACCCGTGAACCCTGAGCCACCGAAGCTGAGTGTGCTGAACTCAACCCGTATACCACCAGGCTGGGCCCCAGTATCTGCTTTTTTAACCCTTGCCAATCAATGTGTGCATGGCCTGTGATGTTAGCGGTGTGTATTAGAACTGCTGCTCCACTGGTAGAAGCTTCATGCAGGAAGGGAGCTGCTCTGTTCTCAGGATCGATCCTCTGGTAGGAATAGTGCTGTCTGAGAGGGGAAGTGATGGCAAAAAGAAGGGAGACACGGGTTAAGTTTAATAACTGGAGCTAACTATACCTGACCACTTTCTTGGAGAAGGGAAAAGTTAAGCTCCAGTCTCCAGTGAATGAAAAAGGTGGGAGATGAACCCTCAAAGTTACATACCTGTCCCTTTTTGTTGACACCAATAATTCCAGAGGTAGGTTCATGTGGAGCAGTTACAAAGACTGTGTCAGCACTAATACGGTTCATGTAGATGCACACACCAGACTCGAGGTCATACATATGAAGATAGCCATACTTTGTGATCAAGTAAATAACACCACGTTTACCTCCAATCTATAAGAAGATAGAGAACAACAGGTGGAAAAGTAAAGAAAAGCCAAATAAAGCACAAGAGCTCACGAATGATAAAACAGGACTCTTGATTCTTAGACCAAGAGATCATTTATCACTGGTGGGAGCAATGTGTTCCCGAGACATGGATCCCAAGTTGATTCCAGTCCTACCCCACTGAGAACTAGTTTTAAAGCCAATACTTTGACCAACCACTCTCAAATAAAGGTCCAATAAAATCAGGCTATTCCATATAGCTTTCTGGTACAACTATCCTTTCCCCAGTTTCTAACCAAATCCAAAGCAAGCTGCAAGTTCATAAAATAAGGGGAAAGTTCTGGATAAAGACCTCAAACATTGAGTTCACGTTCCAGCCTGCCCTCTACTACCACTTATTACCCTTTGACCTTTGCCAAGTGCCATTAACTCTTACAGAAAAATATTTAGCACACAGGAAATCCTGACAGGGTGGGAGAAAGACAGACGAATTTGTCTAATTAGATTATTATAAAACTTATAGTAATTTAAAATGTGTTGCACTAAGAAATAAAGTGTGGTACTAGCATAGGAAGAGACAGAGACAAATGGAACTTAATTGAGAACCCTGAAATAGAATCAAACATATATAAAAATGTAATATGAATGATAGGTATTTCATACCACTGGAAAATAGACTTTAATCAGTATATGATGTTGATATAATCAGCTGGCTAGCTGAAGATGGAGGATGAGGGTAAAGAACTGGATCTCTATCTTATTCTTTAGATCAAAGTAAACCCAAGATGGGTCAAAGATTTTTAAATAAAAATTAAAATTAAAAAATAAAAATAAAAAAAATTAAATAAAAAATTAAATAAAAAATAAAAAGTAATAGAAGACAATATGGGTGAATATTTTGATCATCTTGTGGCGTAGAATTCTTTTCAAAACATGATACTCAAGCCACATAAAAATGCAAAACTTCTACAAGGTGGAACACACCACAAATAAACTTTTGTTACAACTGGGAAAAAATGTTTATTTGAAACACATCAGGTAAACTTACTATTCCAAAACTACAAAGAGTTCTTACAAATAAGATAAAGACCCCGATAGGAAAAATGCCAAGATTGGGAACAGGCAATTAACAAGATGCATATGAGTGACTGGTAAACCCATCCCATCTCAACAATAATCTCAGGAAGGACACAAACACCATTGGACACTGTCCAGCTCACAGGGGTGGTATCGGCAGGAGTGTGAACTGGCCAGCATGATCATGAGAGACAGCAATATGCACATGCCCCTGACCCAGCAGTTTCATTTCTAGGAGTTTACCCTTGGATTTTTGGACTAATGCACAAATGGTATGGACAACAATATTCCTAGACGTGTTTACTGTAAACATAAATATCCATTAACAAGGGACTGTCTAAATGAGTTATGGCACATCCACAGAACAGATGATGCAGACATTAAATATATACATGTATTTTATTGGCATAGAATGGTCTACAACATAGTGAGAGAAGGTTGTAAAGTGCAAAGCCATTTCATAAGAGTCTATTTGTATATATCTGCATAAACACATGCATGCAAAGATATTTCCAAAGGGGTGGTCACAATTATCAGTGGTGGTAGGATTTCAGTTGATATTTAATTCTGCCGTTATACTTATTGATACTGTTGGAAATTTATGGACAACGTACATTTTTGTAAGACAGAAAAAAAGCCAATTTCACTCTGGGAAAAAATTGCATTCTTTGATCACGTAACTATTTCCAGAAATCTAGCTTAAACAAATTATCGTAAATATAGTCAAATATTTGAGAACAGAAAAAAAGGAAATAACTGAAACATCCCACAATTATGGTACATCTCTAAAAATAACGGTTCACTTCCCAAAATATTCACAAAGAATTTGATACTTTATGGAAATGCCTATAATGTACCAAGCAAAAGAATATAAAGGAGAGTAGATTACATAATCTTACATATATAGTGTGATCCAAATTTTGTCCAGAAAAGGTTTACATCTAAACATTTTATATAACAAGTAGTAAGATCTGATATATTTTACATCCAATTGGTTCAGCTACAGAGGAGTGATTTCTTCTTTGTATATTTTTGTACTACAGTGAACACCTAATCTTTTATAACAAAAAAGAAAACATCTGGGACTTGGGTACGTGAGTTGGAAAAAGTCCTGTTGGTAGAAAAGAGTGCTCCTCATCAGAGAGTGTTAAGGCAGCATAAGCTAGAAGATGAGCCTCGATATAATCTTCTCTGTGTTCTAACATATCTACTCTGGCACCTTCTGAGGCACAAGAGGCAACTATCTGTGAGATCCGTGATTCATTCAAACCCACTTAGAGACCAGCACATTCATAGCTGCATAGCCACTGGGAAATCAGTCTGAGCCTCTGGAGGGAAAAACACATCCACAGCTTTCTTTACAAAAGGTTGGTTTCCTGCTGTAGGCTGTCCGACTTCGATTATGCGCAACTAGAAAAGAGAATTTAGGTCAATCCAAGTAAACGTTCTTGGTGGCAGACTGATGCTAACCAATGCACAGTGGTGAGCAGAGCCTTAAGTCCACACTCTGTATGACTAATGATAAAACTTACATTCAAACAAAACAAGACAATCTCTTGGTCGAGGTGCTTATGTTATTCACTAACCTGCTCCCCACCACCTAGTACAATAGAAAGAACCAATGCCAGGAAACCTCAGAAACATTTAGTTCCAGCATGTTGGCCAAGTCACTTCTCCCCTCCAGCCTCAGAGCAGATGCCAGTGAAACAAATGGCTCCAACTACGATCTGCTGTCTCTTCCAGCTCTGCCACTCCGACCTCCTGGACACAGCTCAGGCTAACACAGATCAGTTAACAGACAAGACCTCATAACTGAACGCCAAATTCACAAGACAGTCGACCATGGCAAAGACCTGAACTTTTTAAGGTTGGGGGTGGGGTGTAAGGATCTTTGGAAAATCCGGAGGAAGGAGAGTGGACAAGGAGGCCCATCTCTGCTTTTATCAGAACAGCTTCAGGTTCCTCTCATCTAATGAAAAGGTATCAAAGCTAAAACAAGTCTGGAAAAAATCCTAAGTAGAGGTGGATCAGAGACACAAAACTCAAGGGTTGGAGAGGAGGCTCAGCAGAGGAAACGGAGGAGTGTACACTTAAAAGATAGTCTGGATTTCGCCCAGCAGAGAGAAGGGGAAAATATCAAAGAGGCTGGAGGCAAGCAGAGGATGAACAGTGAGACATGGGTTAGAAGGGGGAGGGCTGATGCAGCAAGTGAGCAGAGGCTACCAGAGAATAAAATGGGGGAGACTCAAACTCCTTGCATAGGGGCACTTTAAGATAAACAGTAGTTTAGGAAAATTCTTTTCGATGGGTATGGTGGGTCTGAAGACTTAGTAAATGGCTATTCCCTAACCCAAATATGGGTGATACACGCCTAGTCGGCCACAAATGTAAGACTTGCTAAAGCGTGAACAATGGCAACAAGAATAGAAAGGAGCTTGAGAGTGGTTTCTTGCTTGAGAGTTGGGAAGGATGGTGGCACTGCCAATAGAAGTGGGGCCACGGGAAGGGAAGCCAGGCTTTTTCGGGAGGTGGTGAGAGAAGGGTGTGACTACAGACAAGTGGCACCCACCTATGAGAAAGTTAGCAACAAGGAACTGGCGTCTAGACAAAACTCGGATCCATACACGGAGACTGCAGAGCCATTCCCGTAAGTACAGCTAGGCTGAATCAGAAGGAAGGCATGTGTTAAGGGGCACAGGCCCAGAAAACCAATGAAGGGACCCCACACCTTCCACTGTGGTAAGGGAAGTGACACTCGACCACAAAATAGGCGGCACTTGGGACAGCTGCTGTGGAGGTCTGTGTGTGTGGAAGGGCCTGCCATGGAAGACTGCCCTTGACTGCAGCTCCACCCTGAGGGGAGTGGCCCGCCTGACAGCTGAGCCTAGGAGATAAGTGAGCATGCCTGCCTTATGAGCTCTTCTCTTCTTGGGGCTGCCGCCCATCTACAGAGGGCACTTCTGGCATGCGCTTTTCTGTACAGGGAGCTTGGCAGGGCAGGCTCTGCTCCTACAAGGGAGCCTGTGGCCCAGCTCTGTCTGTGAGGAGGTGAAAAGCCTCATTCTGAGGTGATATGGTAGCAAGCTCTTCATGCACGCTGATATTTTTACCTGACTCCTACTTTTCTATTGGTTCTCAACTACGGAAGCATGAAGTATGTTACACAAGAGACCGAAGTATCCAAATAAGAATATTTAAGATGAGGAAGTTTGGAAAGCCACATACTGATTTAGAACTCTTCTCTGGGGAGTACTTCAGGGCTAGTAACCAACTCAAAACAATTATTTCAGGGAATGTTTTTGACAAGAGTGTACTGGGATAAGGACTCTGTTTTGAGGCAGGTCTCCAAGTAAGCAATACAACCCTGGTGGAATCCCAGGTCTCCCCAACATTATCAACTCTTACACTTCCACACCTCCGCCCACGGCAGCCTTGCCAAACAGGTGCTGGCCACGCCTCCGAGCCAAATAAAACTCAACTGGCTCCCAGGGCATGGCCTCTTCTCTTTGTAGCTCCCCTGGGGTTCCACCCCCCACTCCCTACCCCACCACCTGGGCAGCACCACACCTCAGCGATGCAGGACCCATGTCTTAGGTAACAATAGTGTGCACTGGCTCTTACACAGCCGTCGCCTCCATAAGACTGGTGTGTGAGAGAAGAAACCATGCCTGGCTTACCTTATGGCCCCAGTGCCTAGCTCAGGCTCAGTAGGTTCTGTTAAAGAAGACTTTTAGAGTAAAGGGACCAATTAATCAGTAGCCGACTTGAGGTTACTAACTTTATGCAAAGTTAGTAACTACCAACTGGTTGTTGTTGTTGAAACATGTTGAAACCACCAACATGTACAAGTGAGTGGTTCTAAATACGGCAAGAGCTTCATTCACCTGAAGCACCTGCAGGCCGTTCCCCACTCCCAATTACACATTGGTTTTGAAATATCAGCTAAGCAGCTAACAATTACACTTGTACAAACTCCTAACACAGACTCAGGACACTTTTCTGGAGGAGGAGACAAAGTAGAGTAGATCTTACCTTGCCCCCTGTGGGACTGCGTACAGCAAAGCAGAAAAGAGTGGCAGGCTTGGCAGTGCCCTCACTCGTGAACTCTGCAAAAGCAGCAGCATGGCCTTCTATGGGTTGGGAAACCTTCCTATCCACAGAGTAGAGCTGCATTGCTCCAACCACAAGATTTTGCTAACAAAAGACATTCGCAACAATGGAAGAGAAAAAGAGACAGACATAAACAATTGTTAAAACAAATGTTTCTAAACTGAAAGTGTCATATGTTGATACACTTCCTCTAATAAAAAATAAGTCTATTAGCTACTAAAAGACATGAAATAACCCTGAATTTAATGTGGAAAAATGGCTACAAATACTAGGGAAAAAAGACTACAAAATAGTAAGATAGATGATCTCAATTCGTTAAATATATGTATATGTATACACACACACTTATATGTGTGGGTACAGGATACGTGTGTACATGTATATAAACGTATATATACATACACACACACACGCACATTCATAGAAAGTAAGTCTTCAGGGAAAAAACTCCAAAGTATTAAGAGTAGTTAAATCAGGAGGATGAGATTTGGGGCTAATTTTGAAAATTGTGTTTTCTGAAATTTATAAATAGCAAAAATTGTATTTCATAAAAACCAGTGAGACTAGTATCTTTTATAAAACTTAGAACTTAACATTTTCTAGGACAGAATTTCAATATATTTATATCCAATGTTAAATGCTCAAAAAGCTAAGTAAATGGAACACGAAAGTATCACAGTTCAAGCTCCTAGAATTCAACATTCAAACCATCATCTCTGCCGAATGAACCCCCAAAAGCAGTCTGTGAGTAAAATTCAGATCTTCAGTCGATTTCCCACCTACCCACATCTCCTTAAAAGGGGAAAACAAAAGCTTCAATTTTCTTTTTAAAGACCTTTTCTATTGCACACACTTATGTTCAAGTTACTACACAAAGTACTGATTCATGCTACAACATGGATGAACTTTGAAAATATGCAAAGTGAAAGAAGTTAGTCACAAACTGGTTCCACATACGCAATGTCCAGAATAGGGGATCTAGAGACAGGAAGTAGACTAGTGGTTGCCAGAGGCCAGGAGTAGGGAGAATAGAGCCGCAACCAGTAGATAAACGGTGTGCACTCTAATAGAAGAACGAACAAGGAAATTTTAAAACAAGAATAAGGACAGGACAATACTCACTCTCCCCAGGAGATGAAGGGAAGATTTTCAGCAACATGGTGACAGCACGTTTGAGTCCCAAAGCTACAGAAGACGAAACTGAAGCCCAGATGAAGAGGCGAAACAGAGAGAACACCTGAGATCAACGCTGGAGCCCTGGGCTCTTACGCTGCCTGTACTCATGGACCCAGAGGCTACAAGTGTGGGACTGGGCAGTGACCTGCTTCTAACTTCGGCTCCTGTGAAGTGAGGTCCACCTACCTCACAGGGGTGCTGAGTGTTATGTGTGCTTTGGGCAAAGGTATGTCGAGGATCATAGCTGGCAAGGATTCAATGCAAAAATGCTTTCTTTGTGACAGGTCCTGTGCCAGGGGCTAAGGATAAGGAAAATGAATACAACACAGGTCCTTTCCTTAAGGACAGGTGATGAGGGTTTCTGGCAAGGAAGCAAGCAATTGCAGTATACGGTGCTGAGTGCTATGACCCAGGAAAGAGTGAGATGCTGTGACCTCACTCGGTTGGTGAGTCAGGGAAGGCTTCCCAAAAGTGACAAGAGTTAACCAGGTGAAGAGGAAAAGTGGTTTCAGACAGAGGGGTAGCATTTGCAAATGTTTAGACTGGGGGTGGCAAACTAAGGCCTGTGGGCCAAAATCCACCCCCCATGTTCCCCCTCCCCTTTTTTTCAGTTGAGGTGAAATTCACATAACATAAAATTAACCATTTTAAAATGTACAATTTATTCAGTGGCATTTAGTACATTCACAATGTTGTGCAACCACCACCTCTATGCAGTTTCAAAACATTTTCATCACCCCCAAAAAATCCCTGTGCCCATTAAACAGTTAGTCCCCACCCCCTTCCTCCAGCCCCTGGCAATCAATCACCCATCTGCTTTCTGTCTCTATAGATTTACCCAAATATTTCATATAAATGGGATCATAAAATATGTGGCCTTCTGTGTCTGATTTTTTTTCACTTAGTGAGGTTTCAAGGTTCGTCCATGTTGTAGCATGTATCAGTACTTCATTCCTTTTTAGGGCTAAATGATATTCCATTTTACATATAAACCACATTTTGTTCACCCATTCATCCATTGGTGAACATTTGGGTTGTTTCCACCTTTTGGCTATTATGAATAATGCTGCTATGAACATTTGTGTAAATTTTTGCATGGACATATGTTTTCATCATTTATCTTGGGTAGATACTTAGGAATGGAATTGCTAGGTCAAATGTTCAACATCACTAATCGTCAGGGAAATGCAAATCAACACTTTTTTTGTGTGTGTGTGTGAGGAAGAGTAGCCTTGAGCTAACATCTGATGCCAATCCTCCTCTTTTTGCTGAGGCAGATTGGTCCTGGGCTAACATCCATGCCCATCTTCCTCTACTTTATATGGGACACAGCCACAGCATGGCTTGACAAGCGGTGCGTGGGTGTGCACCTGGGATCAGCGGAGTGTGAGCACTTAACCGCTACACCAGTGGGCCGGTCCCCCTGTTTAACTTTTTGAGAAACTGTCCAACTGTCTTCCATAGCAGCTGAACCAGTTTACAATCCCACTATTAATGTATGAGGGTTCCAATTATGCTACATCCTCAACAATACTAATTCTCCATTTTTTTGTTCCTTTCACTTTATTATTTTTATTTTATTGAGGTCATAACAGTTTATAACACTGTGAAATTTCAGTTGTACATTATTATTTGTCAGTCACCATATATATGTGTCCCTTAACCCCTTATGCCCACCCCCCAACCCCCTTCTCCTCTGGTAACCACTCATCTGTTCTCTTTGTTGATGTGTTAGTTTCTCTTCCACATGTGAGTTAAATCACACAGTGTTTGTCTTTCTCTGTCTGGCTTATTACACTTAACATAATACCCTCTACGTCCATCTATGTTGTTGCAAATGGGACGATTTTGTCTTTCTTTATGGCTGAGTAGTATTCCATTGTATATATACACCACATCTTCTTTGTCCGTTCATCAGTCAACAGGTACTTGGGTTGCTTCCACTTCTTGGCTATTGTGAATAATGCTGCAATGAACATAGGGGTGCATAAGTCTCTTTGAATTGTTGATTTCAAGTCCTTTGGGTAAATACCCAGTAATGTGATAGCTGAGTCATATTGGTATTTCTATTTTTATTTTTTTTGAGGAATCTCCATACCGTTTTCCATAGAGGCTGCACCAGTTTGCATTCCCACCAGCAGTGAATGAGGGTTCCCTTTTCTCCACATCCTCTCCAACATTTGTTGTTTTTTGTCTTGGTGATTACAGCCATTTTAACATGTGTAAGGTGATATCTCGTTGTAGTTTTGATTTACATTTCCCTGACGATTAGTGATGTTGAACCTCATTTCACGTGCCTATTGGCCATCTGTATATCTTCCTTGGAAAAATGTCTGTTCATGTCCTCTGCCCATGTTTTGATTGGGTTGTTTGTTTTACGTTGTTGTTGAGTTGTCCTTTATATGAGTCCTTTATGTATTTTGGAGATTAACCCCTTGTCAGATATATGATTTGCAAATATTTTCTCCCAGTTGGTGGGTTGTCTTTTCATTTTATTCATGGTTTCTTATTTTCCATTAAAAAAAAAATTACAACCATCCTAACAGGTTGTACCTCATTGTGGTTTTGATTTACAATTCCCTAGTGACTAATAACGCTGAGCATCTTTTCATGTGTTTTTTGGCTATTTGTCTATCTTTGAATAAATGTCTATTCAAGTCTTTTTGCCCATTTTTTAATTGGGATATCTTTTTTTGTCAAGTTGTGTTATCTACCTTTTCTGGATAGTAGACTCATCAGAAATGTGATTTGCAAATATTTTCTCCCATTCTATAGTCTGTTTTTTCACTTTCTTGACAATATTCTTTGATGCACAAAAGTTTTTAATTCATTAAAGTCCAATTTATCTATTTTTTTCTTTTTTTGCTCATGCTTTTGGTGTTATACCTAAGAACCCATTGCCAAATACAAAGTCATGCATATTTCCCATGTTTTCTTCTAAAGGTTTTATAGTTTTAGCTCTTACATTGAAGTCTTTGATCCATTTACAGTTCATTTTTGTATATGGTGTGAGGTAGGGGCCCAACTCCATTCTTTGCATGTGGATACCTAGTTGTCCCAGCACCGTTTGCTGAAGAGAATACTTTTTCCCCATTGAATGGTCTTGACACCCTTGTCAAAAATTGTCAATTCGCCATGGATGTATGGGTTTATTCATGGACTCTCAATTTTACTCCATTGGTCTACATGTCTATTCTCATGCCCATGGAGTTTTTTGTTATTGTTGAATGCTTGTGTGATATTGTGATATAATAATAAATAAATATTTGGTCTTCATCCCTGGTTCCTGGCACAAAACTCCTAAAACCCTTGTAATTTCCTAAGGGATCATGAGTGAAAGGAGCATCTTTTGTTATAATATCTGGTCTTAGTACCCAGTTCCTGACACAAAAGCTTGTAAGACCTTTGGGATCTCCAAAGTGATGAGTGTCTTTTTGTATGATAATGAGTTGATTGGTGATTGGGGGCCCCTACACAGCTTCAGGATGGGGTCTGGTCACCAGCAGCAGCAAGGCATGATTAGAGGGTTGGAACTTTCAGCCCCACCCTATCCTGGCATCCAGACAGAGGAGAGGAGCTGGATATTGAGTTCATCACCGACGACCAATAAAATCTCCATAAAAATCCATAAACTATGGGGTTCAGAGAGCTTCCACACTGGTGAACACATCAGGGCGCTGGAAGGATGGAAGGCCTGTAGAGGGCATGGAAGCTCCACACACACACCCTTCCCCCATGCCTTGCCTTCTGCATCTCTTCCATGTGGCTGTTCCTAACTTGTATTCTTTAGAATAAACCAGTACCAATAAGTAAAGTGCCTTCCTAAGTTCTATGAGCCATTCTAGCAAATTATCGAATCGGAGGAGATGGTTGTGGGAACCCCTGATTTATAGCCTGTCGGTCAGTGG